TCAATTTGAAATAAATAAATTGTTGTGTCACATTCGTGCTCATCTGCCATTAACCTTTGAAAAGCCAATACCAAAACTACGGGACTTGAGTTATGCCCCATGGTCATTTAGCATCACCCCACAGGATCACCAGATTGTGGGCACTATTGAACCAATTGGGATTATAACTAACAGCTAACAGTTCCCAAAAGTGGAGCCCAAAGAGCACTAACACCAAAACCAACACGCTTAAAAATGCTCAAGCTCAAAATGTAGCTAATCTGATCTACACATATGGTTTTCTCATTGACGTTTAAGAGATCATACCAGAAGTAAGCAGTGCTCACAATACCACCTACTCTCAATGAGTTTAAATATGTCACCATGGTGATTGCTGTGCGTCACCAACCTTCTAATGACAATCATTCCCACTTGCAGTATATGATTATAAGCTGATTGGTTGATCACTAAACTCAATCCTAATTAAGTGAACATAATTAACACTTCTCTTCTCTACTAAAGGAGTATTCGAAAATTCTAAGAACACATTAAAGCGAAATGTGCATCTATCTTAACTTCACGAAGCAGTCTTGATCGAGAGCACGAAACCAGAGAGCCAAGTGTCCACTGTACGAAGAAGGTAAATTGCATAAGTAACTTTCTATTGAAAATCATCCCCTCTATCCGTATAAAAATATAAGCTGATTGATTGATCACTAATCTTAATCTTTATAAAGTTAAAGTTATAGACACCTCTCCACCCTCTAATATCTTTTATTAAAGTTCTCTGTTTCTTAAAAGGTGTCTTCCCTCTCCCTCTCTACTGCAATTTCAAGGTGGAAATTTTGATACCCGGACGCGCAAGGTATCCAGGCTCTTAAAATCCGCAATTAGCATGGTTTATATCGTGAGCACACGGCCTGGACTTCTGGGTTATTAAATATGGTATCTTAATTGCAATCTTCCTAATGATTCCTGTTTTAGCAATATCTCCTTTTTAGTACTAAAGTTAACATCTTTGAGACCTATACTAAAATTCGCAAATTTTGATGTCTGATCAGGTATTACTTTGGGTAATTGAGTAGCATTCACCAATGCGTGTACGTTGGTGGATCATAAATTGTAAGTGGCAAACCATTTTGAGAACCGGTGTGTGGGACAGACTTACCTCCACGTGGGCAACGCATACTTATACGGCAAAATAGTCTTTTAACCAGCAGTTGACTTGGGACTCCAAACTACCATCATCCCATTGTATGTCATATTCGACTACTTCCACAGTACTCACATTATTAACTGGCAGTTAACTTCTCACTTCAAACTACCATCACCCTAAGCGGCAGTTGACTTCTCACTTCAAACTACCATCACCCGCACTGGCAGTTGACTTCTCACTTCAAACTACCATCACCCCTCACTGGCAGTTGCTTTCTGACTTCAAACTACCATCACCCCACCGTAAACCGGCAGTTGACTTCTGACTTCAAACTACTATGGTCCGACTATAGTTGACTTGGGACTCCAAACTACCATCATCCCATTGTATGTCATATTCGACTACTTCCACAGTACTCACCTCACCTTTGTGTCTGACTCTTTTACATCTTTGAAACACTTCTGTCCCCCACCCCTCTATGCTTTTTTTTCACTTTGATGTTCCTTCCCCTCTATGAAGCCTGAAGTCAACTAAAGGGCTATTGATGACTACCAAAACGCCTATAAATAAACGCATATAAATAAATAAATTTTAAGAATCGATATTCAACAAAAAATTATCTATTGATATTGTTTAAATTAAGTGAACTACGAATTTTTAACAACCAAGGCTATTATGTAAACACTTGTGCAATATTCTTAACTTTCTATACTCGTGACTGTAACTTGTATAAGAAGGAAAACACAAATAGCACAGAGAATAGAGCCAAATTTGCTACAATCCGTTGTGCTGTAAAAGCTTATCTAATTTAACAATTGATTAATCACTGCACATATCTGGTAAATATTGTTTTGGCATTGTATATGCATGCTTGACGTCTTTTCGAGGTGCCGTAGCCAACGATTTGCAGACTTTACCAACATGTCAGATTCATCGGCGCCGGTGTCGAACACATTCACTATTCTTTCTTGAATAATAGACTTCTCTTTTCTTGTCAGACAGGCGTAATATTGAGCCTTTTCAACAAAAAGAAGCAGGAGAAGTGCAATCTTATATTGCTTAATGGAGTGACTTGATATAAACTCCAAATTCTTCTTCAATTCGTGTTCATTAAGTTTCCTAATTCTCTTCTCGCTTTCCTCAACATATATATCGGTGATCCTTGGAATTGCGGAGAGGAGACTTACACTTTTATTGCTTACTTTTGCCTTGGAGAGAGCGTCTGGCGCAAGTCGATTCAAGATGGTCCAAATAAGGGGAATATATTCCTCACCAGTATCTTCATTTATATGTTTAGCCAATTCCTTAAGATAGCTTCCAACGAGAGAGTAAAGATCTTTAATATAGCTTATCCAACGCCGTCTTCGGTGTTCCAACAAATCCCCCAATTGATATCTAACTTCATCATCACTTAATTTGGAAAGAGATGCCTTTAACTTGTACATATCGTCCGCCAACTCTTTCAACAACACGGGATTTTTTAAACCCTTCACCTGACATGAAAATAATGGGGAAACATATTTAAATTTGTGGGAGGCTTACCTTGGCCATAGTTATACTTTATGCTTTGCAAATTTGAAGAATGAATTCGAATTCTGGCAAATAGTCCTAAACGATGCTGAAAACAGCTCACAGCATTTAATCCAGTTTCAAAACTAAATTAAACTCTTATATCAGGAAAGCAGTTCACGCGGTGATGCATACAGGCAAAGTTTTATACCAGGAATGACACGAAGAGGGAGAAATGTAACATTCAAAAATGTCTGCATGAGAATATTACTTTAATGATGGAAAAGTATTTTTATCAATTACTTTTCCAACAGAAAAGTTAATGCCTCTTTTAAGTGTGAAATATTTTCCATGAATCCTTATTCATTATCAAGTTACATGTCATGAAGCAGTTTTTCCAATTTTATTTTACTGTATCTTATTTTGAGTTAATGGGGGTGCGTGATAGACTTACCTCCACGTGGTGCACCCTGGGCAACGTATACTCATACGGCAAAAAAGTCTATTAACTGGCGATTGACTTCTGGCGCAGTACTCATCTTACCTTTTCTCTGCCTTCATGTCTGTCTCTTTTACAACTGTAAATCACTCTTCTGTTCCCCACCCCTCGACTTTCTGTTACTTTGATGTTCCTTCCCCCTATGAAGCCCGAAGTCAGCTAAAGGGCTAATGATAACTATCAAAACGCCTGCCATTTGAAAAAAATAAATAAATTTTGAGTTAATGAAACGATAATTTAATATTATTGTATAGGCTGGCAGCAATGTGATCTCTTTTCTGTAGTTCTGGAAAAAAATATGGTCATAATGATTTGATTGCTGTTTCGGGTTGAAGAGAAGCCTAGTGATTTGCTGTTTAACTAACATTTACCATTTCAAGAGAGGCCAGAATAATTATAATTTTCCCGATCTAATAGATATACACTAATCTCGTGATTCACCCACGGCTAATTGAAATTATAGAGTCGATCTATTCTACTTTGCCATCTTCTTTAATAACGAACCTTAAAGTGTCCGCTTGCCAGCTAACTCAAGATCCTTTGCTAGTTCTCAACGCCTCCTCCCCCCTTCCCCCCCCCCACCACCACCACCACATTGAACTCTTCTATGGAGTTTGGGCAAAATTTCCCTTTACCAGTTACTCTGTATTCTCTCTTACTGCAACTACTCAGTCATCGGCTCTGTTCCTTTCTCTCTCTCTCTCTCCCTCCTAATGAGCGACTGATTTGAGAAATTTTCTCTTCCACATGATGGCATGCTAAAAATTTGTAGCACTACAATATTTGTTCATATACCCTCCATCATAATAAGATCATTTAGAGAAAAAATGGGCAATTTGTTTATTTATTTCAAATGGTAGACGTTTGGATAGTTACCATTAGTCCTTTAGCTGACTTCGGGTTCCACAGAGAGGAGGAGTAACAGACAGAATAATGATGCACAGATGCGAAAAAGTCAGACAGACGCAAAGGCAAAGAACAGGGGTAAGATGAGTACTATGGAAGTAGTCGAATATGACATACAATGGGATGATGGTAGTTTGAAGTCACAAGTCAACTGCCGGTTAATAGGCCCGAATATGACATAGAGAAGTCAACTGCCAGTTAATAGATCATGGTAATTGAAGTCAGAAGTCAACTGCCGATTAATAGACTTGGGGTCATGATAGTTTGAACTCAGAAGTCAACTGCCAGTTAATAGACTTACTCATGGTAGTTTGAAGTCAACTGCCAGGTAATAGACTTTAGTTTGAAGTGAGAAGTCAACTGCCGATTGATAGACTTTTATTTGAAGTCAGAAGTCAACTGCCAGTTAATAGACCTTTTCAGTCAGAAGTCAACTGCCGGTTTATAGACTTTTTTGCCGTTTGAGTAGTCAGAAGTCAACTGCCGGTTAATAGACTTTTTTGTGAAGTGAGAAGTCAACTGCCAGTTAATAGACCTTTTTGCGTTGAAGTCAGAAGTCAACTGCCGGTTAATAGAATTTTTTTGCCGATAGTTTGAAGTCAACTGCCGGTTAATAGGCCTTTTTGCCGTATGAGTATGCGTTGCCCAGGGTGCACCACGTGGAGGTAAGTTTATCGCATACCTCAATGAGCAAATTTAAGCTCCAAATATACCAAGTTTAGCGCCATTAGCATTTGGTTGACAAAAGTTTCCTACAACAATGGTTTCAGAATTACTTCCTCCAAATGGCATTCAAATTCAGATGGGGTACCATTTTTCCTCAATGAGTTACCCAAACGATTGACAGTAATCGAATGATGCAAAAAGATTGCCAGTTTGAGTTGCTTTAGCAGACACAATTCAGAGTTGAGGCTTAGGCAATAAAAATTGTGGAGGCAGGATATTCCCACCCCAACCCTTCCCCCCCCCCCCCCCAAAGATTCGAATTTTTTGGACTTCACAGGTTGATTAGGATTTTCTTTTAATAAATTATGATGCATAAATAGCTTCATGGTCTATTCATTGAAATTTTTGGATTTATTTTAATGTGGTCTATCCTGAAGTGAAACTATCTTAGTTGATATAAGATCCTAAATCGTATTTAAGTGCAAATCTTTAAGTTCAAACAATATTTGCGCGAATGTTACATATAATTCCTTTGCAGCTTTTCCCACAATGAGTCATTTATAAATATTTCAGACGCGTTCGCACACTCGAGATCTACTGAATTGACCCGAAATGGTACCTAAACAGCACATTGAACACTGGCAACTTACTGAGTAAACTTTACCTAACCTATCGATCATTCATTCGGCCCTAACCAGCCAAGCTGGCTTTAATTTCCAATTGATTATATCCACTTAGGATTCTCTCAGAATTCCACCACTGCTTCACGACTCAGCATGGCGTAAAAAGCCCCTTTTGATTACAGTTCCACAACTCAATGGATTCTCTACTATTCGTTTAATTGGTTATTGCTCTTGCCCATCACTAAATGTGGTCATCCAATCGTATTTACTCTCTCCTGACCACTACAGGCATAAGATTAGGAGTCAACTTTCTGCTACGCCTCAATTCAGCTTCAATCTACATAAAAGTTTTATTACCCCTGTAAAATCTGAGCATTATCTTAACTTGTTTCACATCAGTTTTACTTCTCGGCAAAAAAGCCACAAAGTTGGGACCGGCAGCTTTAAAATGATATATCAAGTGCTATTAAGTAAATGTGTTGTCTATTATCCTGTTCACTGGGGTGAATACTTCAAATTCTTGTAAAGATCAACATTATTACAGGGTTAATATCCCCAGATCAGAAATTCAAAGACTTAATTCACCAAGAAGCACATCTTTATAACACTTGAAACAAATTAATGCGAATTTTCAAAATGGGAAGAAGAGGTGGGGGGGGGGGGTTGGGAACAGTTTGCTATCATAAGCCTTATAACAATGAGTTGAATTAAATTTCTGATGTTTATTTTTTATCATACAGATATGAGTATAAAGTGCTTCTTTGGCAATTGTACAAAACTACACATGGAGATATAACTTTGCGATGGATTGATGCACGAATAAACCTTGAAATATCCCCAGTACTCGCTGTTACAAAATTCACTAGAATGGAAAGGCTTTCAACAACATTGAGGAATTAGACGTAAGAGGCATCGAATGCGTTTATTTGGCGTTTACTTATTAAAATATATGCTCCCATGGGGTTGCAAAAATTGTTTGACGTATACTTTCGAGCTTAGTAGATGCTTAAATCATAACATTCCTCTCGTATTGCGTATTGTTACCAATTTTGAAGAGAGGCAAAAAGGGCTGCTGTCATTCTGAAAACACA